CCCCCCCCCCCCCCCCCCCCGCCCACCAAGGACTCAAACATTTTCCTAGTTCCTGGGAAACCTGGCCTTAAGCGCCTGCCTGTGGTGACCGGAGAACAGCCTTTGGCATCCGGGGCTTATTTTGCCGCAGAACCTGGCACCTGCTACATAACTCTCGTCCCCTTGTGTTTTTCTTACAAGGCTATACCTTTCCGGGGGACCAATCTTGACCTTATCTCTCTTTGTGTCTACGGCTCCCATGTAGCTGGTAGACTCATTTAATAAGCACTGATTTTTTACAAAGTCCATTTTTTAAAACTTACAAAGTGGGGTAACCCTTAGTGTTTCTACTTTGAAGCTTAGATTGCAAGAAATAGTTAAAACATGACACAAGGAAAAACCCAGGACACATTTTCTATATTTGAGGATATTTACCTACGGAGGTCGTGATAAAGATGAAACCACTTTTCACATCATGAGGACAATACCACGGTCACTTTGTTATTCCTAAAGGATAGGAGCAGAGGCGATCTGTTGGTAAGCAATTTAGGTGGATTTCTATCTCTCTTGGCCTTTCTTGGTTTTCCCAGGAGGTGAGTCTTGCATTGGGTTCAACTCAAGGGTTTAGAACAGCTGCTAGAGAGAAAATGCCAGGCAGGAGAAGATAATGGACGGTCATCATAGTGGTGAGAATGAGTGCCCTCTGGAAGAAAGTAGACATGTGAGGAAGTAGAAGGCAAAGTGGAAAGAGAGAGTTGTCTCTGGAATAATAATGATGCTTCTGGTAAGACCGTAAGCAGGCAAGCAAGCAAGGGCTTGCTGGGAGCTCACTAGTGCCCCCAAACAGTGGTGAGTCCTTGTGTGCCTGTCTCCGTCTACCCTCCTGACAGCTCAGCGATGAAGTTATCATTCTGTTCTGTACTGATGAAAGAAACTGAGGTTTAAAGGGGGTTCATCTGAGGTTAGCATGAAGGTCTTACAGCTGGTGATGGTGGAGCTGGGATCGAGAGATTGTGTGCTCTCAGCACCTAACTCCTCCCAAAGATCCCGCCACTCCAGCAAGTTGTACCCCTGGGTCTGTCACTTCCTTGTGTGGCCCCGGAAGGCAGACATTCCCTTCCATCTTGTAGATAGGTAGGCTTTCTGACTTTTTTTTTTTTTTTTTAAGATTCTATTTATTTATTTGACAGAGAGAGACACAGTGAGAGAGGGAACACAAGCAGGGGGAGTGGGAGAGGAAGAAGCAGGCTCCCCGCTGAGCAGAGAGCCCAATATGGGGCTCGATCCCTGGACCCTGAGATCATGACCTGAGCCGAAGGAAGAGGCTTTAACCCACTGAGCCACCCAGGCGCACCCCCCCCGACTTTTTTCTTAATGGAAGAATATATTAATTGCGTACCAAGTCAGTGATTTTGATTGAGGAAAGCACATCTTAACTCTCCAAGTTGATTTCTCTTGTCATTCATCCCAATATTTATTTGAGAGCAATAATCCCTTGAATCAAGACCTGTTCTGTTAAAAACACCAAACACTCAAACAATTTCACTTGCTGTGTGGCTATTAGCTCATGTTATCCTCTTAGGAACCCTCCAGGCAGAGCAGCAGCCTACAGTCATGGAGGTACCCCCTAACTCTGCGCAGCGCTCAGTCTGTACAACCACATGTGGTGACCCTGGCTGTAATCCTTAATATACCCATTTTATGGGTGAAGAAACTGAGGCATGGAGATGTTCAGAGAAACTTTCCTAGTTCAGAGTTTAAGCAAACACACCCTAACTACATAATACTATATTCAAGACTTGATAAGATAAAAACTGTATCAATCAGCCCGGTTGTAAGGGTGGGTATGGAAAGGGGATAGAACTTACATGCCTTGGAAAATGTGTGAGTTTTAGAGCCACTCATAAGACATCAGTTCTAGTGCATTAAATTACATCAGACCAAATAAAGTACTATCAGAATGTCTGTCGGAAGCAGTTCTGGCCCCCTAACGTGGTCGATGTCTCATTTGCAATCAGAAACCATTAATACGCTAAGATCCTCAAAATTGAAAAAAGCTGGGCTGGCTTTGTTTAGTGGCTTACATATGCCCCCTCCAAGCCTCGTGACTAGCTTGACAAGTTATTTACTGAACAATTTCTTCAATTTCTCAAAGCCTTCACCAGACTCCAAAGGAATATGTTGCAAGTCAGAATTGAGTTCAATAACGTTTTACTCTATGGTTGAAGACTGAATTTGGAAGGTCAGAGGCAGGAGTCTCAAGAGAAAAACATTTCTAAACTGACAAAATAACGTTTTTTTTTTTTTAAAGATTTTGTTTATTTGTCAGAGAGAGAGAGAGAGAGCGAGCATAAACAGGGGGAGTGGCAGGAAGAGGGAGAAGCAGACTCCTGGCTGAGCAAGAAGCCCAACACGGGACTTGATCCTAGGACCCTGGGATCATGACCTGAGCAGAAAGCAGACACTTAACCAACTGAGCCACCCAGGCGTCCCTGATGAATAACTCTTTTTTTTTTTAAGGTTTTATTTATTTATTTGACAGAGACAGAGAGATCACAAGTAGTCAGAGAGGCAGGCAGAGAGAGAGGAGGAAGCAGGCTCCCTGCTGAGCAGAGAGCCCGATGTGGGGCTCGATCCCAGGACCCTGAGATCATGACCTGAGCTGAAGGCAGAGGCTTTAACCCACTGAGCCACCCAGGTGCCCCCCGATGAATAACTCTTAAGCTAATGGTAAGACGGGATGAAACCTAGTTTGTGGCCAGGTTTGTTTGTTTGGTCTAGTTTGTAAAATAAGCTGCTCAGTTAATAAAAACAATAGTCCATGGAATTCCAAGTAAAGTTTACCGATGCATATGTTAACATTTATTATTCTCATGAGACAGACACTAAGCGGTGCCTGATGGTTTGAGCTGCAGTCCCCTCGGCCTCCGAGATGTACAAGACTCCTCCTGGATCTCAGTGCTGTGCAGATCTGATCCAGAAGGTCTGGAGCGGGGCCAGAGAACTCGCATATTTGAGAAGCTCCCAAGTGAAGATGATACGGAAGCATCTAGAACTCAGACTGTGGGAGCCAGAGAGTCGGAGCTAGATCAGACTTCTAGCTCTGCAACTTGTTAGATCTGTGTCCTTGGGCAAAGGTGCTTCACCTCTCTTGCGGCGTCGTTTCCTCATCTGCCAAATGGGGTGAAGACAATTGTATGTACATCATAGGGGGTGTCACAAGGATAAGATGAGCTAGTAAGTGTGAAGCAGAGAAAACAAGTGACATTATACTCCACGTATGGTTCCAACTTGCCTTTTTTTTACTGGGCATCTTTTTATGTCCACAGAACAAAATCTACCCCATTTCTTCTAACTGCTGTAGATTCCACAATTAGATGTATCTGTTTTTATAAGTTTTATTTATCTAGTGATCTCGACAAGCCCCCACATGCGGCTCGAACTCATGACCCCGAGATCAAGAGTCGGAGGCTGCACCAGCTGATCCAGCGAGCGGCCCCAGGATTTGTACCTTGATTTGTATCATCCCGAGGCATTTTTTTCCCAGGTTTTCAAAATCATGGTAAAATAAACAGAACAAAATTGACCATCTTAACCATTTCTAAATGTGCATTTCCAGGGCATTAGGTATAGTCACGTGATGTGCAACCATCACCACCATTCATTTCAAGAACTTTTCCATTACTCTAAACTGAAATCCTATACCCATGAAGCAACAACTCCCACGTTCTCTGGCCCCTGACAATCTCTCTTGTCCTTTCTGTCTATATGAATTTGCTTACTCTTGGTTCCTCATTTATGTGGAATCATACACTATTTGTCCTTCCGTGTCTCCCATGGGTTTTGAAGGACCAATATCCTGCAGTTTACACCCTGAAACCTGAAATCTCTGAGCTGGTGGTAGTGGTCCCCCTCCACGGCCTAGGCAGGAATTAGGTCAGAGCTGCTGACCTTCTATGATGTGCAACCTCTGTAGGTTTCTGACTCTGTAATTAACAAAACCCATCGCCATTTTTCTTCTCTGAGCACCTGCCCTGGGCCAGAAATGTGCTGGGGACTGCAGAGTGTTCTGTGAGGCAGGAAAATTGACCCTCATCTTGCAGATGCAGAAACTGGACATCAGAGAAGGTCACTGACCTGCCTGCTGGTACTCAGGGATTTAGGGACGGAAGTGGATTATAGTTGGGTCTGACTCCATAGTTCAAGCCCTTGTCCACTCCCTACTAGGCTGGTGAATGAGAAAAAGCAATCGCTGGTGGTGTATTTCTACCACAACCTGATTCAGTGCAGCTGGAACTTAAATTAAGAGAACCTGATAACTGAGGATTCGGAGGTATAGCTGAAACCATTGGGGGAGTTTGCTAATCAAAAGAATTCATCGCAAAGCCTCTCTTGAGCATAAGCTGCTCGGTTTTCCAGATAGGGAGCGTTTCCAACCCCTTGTGTGTCTGAGAGTTGATTCATGCTGTTGCCTGGCCTCCCTTCTGTGGGGTCTCCGCCTCAGAACGAGGGTATGCTGATTTTGAATGTCAAGCGAACGAGGACAAGGAGAATGCCACCAAGCAGATCCTTATGGGGCTAACCCTGTCCTAAACCCCTGCAGCCTTTCCTTTCAGTGTTTCAGAAGGAACGAGAATACTCAGCAGCACCCACTGTGATCCCTGACCCACAGAACACAGTCAGAATGCCTCCGGGTTTCCTCAGATATCCCCTGGCCAGCTAAATGGGCGAGTAGTCTGTGTTGTGTACATGTGGATCCAATTACTTTACAGAACCAGCCTCAAATGTTCTGCTTAAAAAGACAAACGTAAAAACCAACATCATTTTCAGTTTGATGGGACAGTCCTCTAAAAATGGCTATCACTCTCCCATCTAAAAAGAGCATTTCTTGCTCCTCCGAGGTGGCTTTTGTCTCTTTGTTTTTGCCAAGAAGAAAGAGCACTGTTTACGTTCCTCCTCGCCCTCTCACGTGCTTTCAGTTCGGGATCCTCTTCACCAGGCTCACATGCTGTTTTGGCAACCCCCGTGCATTCTTCCCTGCTTCCAGCCCTTAAAGGAGCCCCGTCCCGTCACCACCCACCGACCCCAGCGGTGGCCGGATGGGGGTACTGCATGTCGGGTTTGCCTGATGTTCTGCTTTGGGACTGATCTGACCAGCCGGGTCTTAGATCGGGGTGATTAGGGAAGGCTGAGAATATCACCCCAGTAGGAGGCAGGACCCAAAGCCAGTCGGTTGTGTTTAGCATTCGTTGTGAACACCAGCAAGAAAAAAATAACAGTCATCTCCGCCAGGACTGGTGGAAGGTGCAGCTGAGCAGAAGGTCAAGATTGTCCAGGTCTGATGCTTTTTAGTGACGTGGGTCAAACTAGTTAACATTCTTTGGTGA